AAAAAAAAAAAATCTCAGGGGAAAAAAATTAGCTAGGCACTGGTGGCTCTTGCCAGTAATTCTAAGTACTCAGGAGGCTGAAATCTGAGGAAATTCGAAGCCAGGGTGGTAGGGAAGTCTGTATCTATAATTAATCACAGGAAAAAAAAAAAAAACAGAAGTGGCACTGTGGCTCAAGTGATAGAGTGCTAGCCTTCAGCAAACAGGAAGGAGTTCAGGGACACCATCCAAACCCAGAGTTCAAGGCCCAGAATCGGCAAAAATTAAATATAAGCTGGGAGCTAATGGTTCACTTCTGCAATCCTAGCTGTTCAGTAGGCTTAGATCTGAGGATCTTGGTTCAAAGCAATAAAGTCCATGAGACTCTTAATCTGCAATAAACTACCAAAAAGCCAGAAGTGGAGCTGTGGCTAGCAAAGAAGCTCAGGGACAGCACTCAAACCCTGAGTTCAATCCCTAGAACTGAGTGGGAGGGAAACAAGCTTATGGGTACATAAGGAAAAATAAAGTCATAAGTAATTTATTTACAAAGAATTAATCAGTGAGCTGGGCGCTCACACCCGTAATCCTAACTACTCAAGAGGCTGAGATCAGAGGATCACGGTTCAAAGCCAGCCCAGGCAGGAAAGTTCGTGGGACTCTGATCTCCAACTAACTACCAGAAAACTGGAAGTGGCGTTGCGGATCAAGGTGTAGAGTGCTAGGCTTGAGCTGAAGAGCTCGGGGACAGAGCCCAAGCCCAGAGTTCAAGCCCCACGACCAACACCCCCCCCCCAGAAAAAAAAAGAATTAACCAGAGGTTGGGAACAAGACTTAGCAGCTTTGTAGTAGAGTGCTTGCCTACCATACATGAAGCCCTGGGTTTGATTCCTCAGTACCACGTAAAAAAAAAGAAGTGGCGCTATAGCTCAAGTGGTAGAGTGCTCGCCTTGAGCCAAAGAAGCTCAGGAACAGTGCTCAGGCCCTGAGTTCAAGCCTCTTGGACTGGCAAAAAAAAAAAAAAAGAATTATTTAGTAATTTTTTTTTTTTTGGTCGGTCGTAGGGCTTGAACTCTGGGCCTGGGCACTGTTCCTCAGCTCTTCAGCTCAAGGCGAGCACTCTACCCCTTGAGCTACAGCACCACTTCTGGTTTTCTGGTAGTTTATTGGAGATAGGAGTCTCACAGGCTTTCCTGCCTGGACTGGCTTTGAACCATGATCCTCAGATCTCAGCCTCCTGAGTAGCTAGGATTACAGGCGTGAGCCACCAGCACCCGGCTTATTTAGTAATTATTAAAAAGAATTATTCAGTAATTCTGAAATTCTTCGAAGAATGAAATTATGTTGTTTTCAGGGAAATGGATGGATCTGGAAACCATCATGATAATCAAAGTCAGCTAGGTTCAGAAGAAAAATAGATCTCACCTTTTCTTTCATATGTGAAAGGTTAGACCTAAAAAACAGCATATACATAAATACATACATGATGGGGTGTATGTATGTGTGTGTGTGTAAATGTGTTTGCAATTGTGGGAATACTTAAGGGATTAGAAGTGGAGGAGGAGGAGGGAGGGGGGAGGCTGGGAAGGGATGTGAAGGGTAAACAAAGGAGGAGGATGCAATGCTTGGTAAGAAATGTACGCATTATCCTGCCCATGTAATTGTAACCCCTCTGTACAGTATGTTCACAAATAAAATTAAATTAAATTAAAAAAAAAAGAAGTGGAGGAGGAAAACAGAATATTAGAGGGTGAACAATACCAAATATATTTTGTCTGTGAAAGGACATGACAAACTACACTCATTGAAAGCTATTGAATAACAGGTAGGGAAAACAAGAGCAAGCAAAGGATCACTGGATTAAAGTAGAGTATGTGTATGCATAAAATATCTTGGTATAACTGCTTTGAACAATTAACAGGTACATTAACAACAATTCATGTTACAATGGTGAAATATATCCTGGCTGGGGTGCAGGTACTAGTGGGGTGCAGGTATTAGTGCAACACTAGAGAGGTTGAGGCGAGAGAAGAAAGTTGAATATGAAGCCAACTTGGGCTATATATTGAGACTGTCTCAGTAAGTCTCATCTCCAATGTCACTTTCTATATGAAGCCTTGTCTCACCAAATCTTCCTCACCCACTCTGTATTTTTACAGGGACTATTACATTGTATTACTGTACTATGTACTATCCATCCTTTCTCAACAATGAAGACCAGTAGATCGGAAGACCAGACCTGGCATTCAGTGAGCTTCTAATACAGTGCTGCTTAACTGAGTGAAAAATGGACTTCTTGCCTTCCTTGACCCACAGACCTTACTCACCTGGATCTTGGCACCTTTGTATCTGATGACACCAGGCACAGTGGTCAGAGTAGTGAACTCATAGGCTGCCACCTCAGAATATACTCCCGCCAGGTTACTTAGTAGTGTTGACTTCCCCACAGATGGAAAACCAACAAACCCAATTCGAGCATCACCTGTCTTGGCCACATCAAAACCTAAACATCAAAAAGAGATGAGCTTAGCCGGGTGCTGGTGGCTCATGCCTGCTAACCTCGAGCTAAAAAGCTGTGGGACAGCACCCAGGTTCAGAGTTCAAGCCCATGACCAACCCAAAAAAACTGAGACAGAGATGAGTGTTGTTGTTGTTGCTTTTGAGTCTGTCACAGGGCTTGCACTGAGGGCTGGGGTGCTCTGAGCTTTTTGTTTTTTTTTCTTTGTCAGTCAAGGGGCTCAGGGCCTGGGCACTGTCCTTGAGCTCTTTTGCTTCATGCTAACATTCTACCACTTAAGCCACAGCACCACTTCCAGTTTTCTAGGGTTTAATTGAAGGTGAGAGTCTCACAGATGCTGAGGATCACAGTTCAAAACGAACCTAGGTAGGAAAGTCCTTGGGGATCTAGTCTTATATCGCTGGGCATCCCTTTCATTTCCCCTTTTCATCAATTTCTTCACTTATTTTGATATTGTTAATGGTGTAACTTACATAATTCTCTAAGCCAATGTAAATTTATTTTGAATCAGTGCAAATACAAATAAAAAAGTATCATATTACCAGATGCCAGTGGCTCACACCTGTAATCCTAGCTACACAGGAGGCTGAGATCTGAGATTCAATTAAGTACAAAAAAGTGGTAAGTGCAGCTGGGCACCGGTGGCTCATACCTGTAATCCTAGCTACTCAAGAGATTTGCGGATCACGGTTCAAAGTCAAGCCCTGGCAGGAAAGTCCCCAGGAGACTCTTATCTCCAATAAACCAGAAGTGGAGCTATGGCTCAAGTGGTAGAGTGCTAGCCTTGAGCCGAAGAGTTGATGGACAGGGCCCAGGCTCAGAGTTCAAGCCCCACCACTGGAGAGGTGGGGGTGGGGGGG